TTTAAAAACAAAACATGTGAAAAGTGGAGAAGGTGGAAGTTAAAACTATGTGGACCTTTCATAAATGACCGACCAGTTTAGATGTTACCAATGGAAAAGCGCCACATATTTGATCAATTCTACACCCCAGCCTTATATCGTGCCGAATTTGATGCAAAACCAATGGTTCTATTTCTCGGGCAGGTCTGTTTCATATGACTCTGTAGAAGAACAAAAACCTCGAAAGCAACCTTCATCTTGCCTTTTGAGTTGTAAATTTTAATTATTTAAGTATTCGGTTGGTAAAACATCGATGATCAAATTCTTGCTGAATGGAGAGGAATATCCCGGCAGTATGATTGGACCAGAACCAACTACCGATTGCTTCACAGTTGTCTACCATTCCCTCAACAAAGGCGCCGTTATGGGCACATCACTGGCATCCGATTCTACTCTTCCTTTCCAGGTACTTTAAAAAGTGTGACAAAATTAATTGTGCAAAAATAACATGCAATCTGCAGGAGTGCACCAATTTTATTACTTTCTCGTTATGCATTTTTGTTGTGCAACACAAATCAGCGCTGCTACAGCGGGCAAAACGCATATTGTGTCTACCTCCGTGTGCGTATGTATGTTTGTATACGTCTATCTGGGTATTTCAACTCGGCAACCAAGCAAGCTCCAGCAACAATATTTTTCTAGTGGATTCCCCGGCCAAATGCCGCTCCAGGACCGCAGTACAAACCCTCACGCACGCCGGGGCCCTGCGTACGACCACGTGAAAGCTTTGGCGGGAAAATCGCTAACTCGGGAACCAGATAGGAGGTTGGAATTTTCAGGGGATGTTCTCAGCCCAACGTACAACTTGAAGATTTCAAATTCAGCTTTAGGTGCGCTTGGTTTCCATGTATGGCCCCATGAGAATTTTTAGCGGAAAGTTCGCTAACTCAGAAGTTCGCTAAAACCATGCTGAAGTCGGTCTTTTAACTTAACAAGAACTGGATCAGAAGATGTTGCGCTGATGATTTGATGTTGCGCTTTTGTCGATCCAGGGGATTCTTGAGTTAATTGCCGAAGTTCGAGTTCACTCACCTCCACAGCAGCGATGACTTCTTCCATTTCGGGATCAGTTGCTTCCAATCGTTGTTGGTCAACGAGACAACGCGTCGGCTTGGTCAAAATTTTCTGTTTTGACTTACTCAATCTCAAAATCATACCCAAGTAAACGAAGAGCCCAACGTTTGAGCCTGGCAGCCGTGCGATCCTGTAAGCCTTTCGTATTTGAAGTACGGAATAACGCAAGCAGGGGCCTATGGTCAGTTTGAAGCATGAAATGTCGTCCCCATATGAATTTCTTGAACTGTTCAACAGCTGTGACAAGCGTAAATGCCTCTTTTTCAGTCTGAATATAATTCCTATGAGAGCTGGTTATTGTTTTCGCCGTGTGGAAGACGGCTTTAACATTGCCATCAGCGTAGCGCTGCAGAACCCCACCAATCCCG